TTAGCATGTCAGTGATATGTAAAATTGTTAGTCTGGATTATCTGTATTCTTGGACTGCTCTTGCACAAGGACAGAGTATAAATAAGGAAGTTGGGACCTCAAAATTTACAAGTGTAAATAGAAAAGTGAGGACTCTAAAATATAAAAGTTGAGCTAAAGGTCAGTGTTTAAAGAGGAAAAGAGCAGTCAGCTGTTACATGACTCAAAATATGGAGGTAGGAAAAGTAAGATGGCTATGGATTTGACAACTTGGAGATCACACACGATTGTAGTTTTTGTAGTGATCTAAGGAACAGAACTAGTTTGAAATGGATTGAGGATGAATGGGAAATGAAGGAAGCATAGCTAAGGTAGACGGCTTTTTAGAGTATTGTCATGAAAGGGAGCAGGGAAATGAAGCCCCAGGACATTTCGTGGTTCAGTAAAAGTGATAAGTGATACATATGTGTATCCATTAGGACAAAATAATAAAGTAAAATAGATGTTACTGTCCTGTGTGAGCTTTATTCAGCTAATCTGTTGTGATGTTGCTATATAAATGTATACTGATCTAGTGTTCTTTTTTAAATAGCTGCCCGTTACGTCATTATTTGATTTTATGATGCTTAATGTTGTATCAGTGTTATTGTTAATACAAATACTGCAGTGAAAGCTATGGTGCATGTATGTCTTGGTATATTTTTGCAAGTACATCCTTAGGGTGAACTTTTAGCACTAAAATTACAGGGTTTTATGTAAAAATTATGTGTGTTTTGTCATTGTGACAGGAATTATAAATTTTTTTCCAAAAGCATTTTACCTATTTATAAACCAATGTCTATGTAAATGCCTGTTTTTCCATATTTGTACCGTAGGTACTTGGTCAGACATTTTAACTTTTGTCAGTGTGATAGCGTAAAAAAACCAAACTCTTATTTAACATTGCTTTGATTAAGAATTAAGTAATTTTTCTTTTAGTGCTGCTATAACAGAAATATACCACAAGTGAATGGCTTTTACAAAGAGATATATTTTTATCAGTTTAGAATGCTAGAAGTTGAATTCCTGTTGCTAGCTCTATGGGAAGACTTTACCTTTAAACTCTGGGGAAGAGTTTTGTTCCTGGTTAATTAGAGATCTCCATGTGACTCAACATCTATCTTCATTTCTGCTTCTTTTATCTGCTCCTTTATTTTGTCAAGATAATTGATTCAAAATACTCTCTGTAGTAAAAATAGCCCAGCTTATTGGTCTGATAGAACTTACAACACTCCGGCCCTTACTCATCATTTGAACCTGAAATGAAACCCTTCCCCATAATTCAACATTCCAGCCAAACAGTCAATTGGCGGACTTATAAGATAAACTACAACATCAGGGAGGTGCTCACTCCTGATAATAACCAATCCTCTATAGGGTAAATTATGCCAAGAAATTTGAAAGACAGCTACCAAGAAGATGTCCATATTTGTTCCTGTTCCCAAAAAGGATGATCAAAAAACAAACAAACATGGAAATTAACAGTGTCATTGATACCACATACAAGTAAAATCTTGAAGATTGTTGAAAAATAGCTGGAATAGTACACCGAAAGGGAGTTCCTAAAAATTCAAGCTAGATTCAGGAAGGGATATAGAAAAAAGGATATCATTGCTAATGCCAGATGGATGTTGGCTGAAAGCAGAGAATACTCAAAAGATAATTACTTGTGTTTTATTGACTAAACAGAGGCATTTGATTGTGTGAATTGTTAACAAATTATGGCTAACATTGAGAAGCATAGCAATCCCAGAACACTTAATTGTGCTCATGAAAAACATACACACAGAGAAAAAACTGTTGTTTGAACAGAACAAGGGAATACTTCGTGATTTAAAATCAGGAGTAGTATTGTTTCTCGGTATCTGTTCAGCGTGTGCTTAGCAGATCGAGAAACTGCATGAGATAAAAAAAATTTGGCATCAGAATTGGAGGAAGAGTCATTACAACCTGCATTATGCTGGTGACACAGCCTTGTTTACAGAAAGTGAAGAGCACTTCAGCCACTTGCTGCAGAAGATCAAATACTAGAGCTTTGTATAGCGATTACGTCCCAATATACAGAAAACGAAGATCACTAGAACAAGAGGTAACAGAACATCATGATAGATGGGGAAAAGATTAAAGTCAATTATTTCATTTTACGTGGATCCATAATCAATACCTATGATAACAACAGTCACGAGATCTTCTGTAAAGGACCTCTCCACAGTGCTAAAGATTAACAATCCTATCAGCTAAAGATTAAGATGCACCTGATTCAAACCATGGTCTTTTCAGTCACTTGCTTTGTATCTGTAAGTTGGACAATAAATAAGGATGACAGAAGAAGAATGTATGCCTTTGATTTGTGATTTAGGAGAAGAGTACTAAATATCCCATGGACTGCCAAAAAATCAAACAGATATCTCTTGGAGAAAGTGCAGATGAAGTCCTCTTTAGAAGCAAGGGTGGTGAAATTTCATATCACATGTTGTCAGGAAGGACCTGTCCTTGGGAAAATACTTCATGCTAGGGAAGGTGGAGGGTCAGAGTAAGAGAGGAAGACCCTCAGTGAGTGAGGTGGATTGATAAAGTTACTGTAACAGTGGGCTGGAGCATATTTGAGATCAGGCTGGTGCAGGATATAGGTCGAGTTCAGAACTGTTGTTTAAGGGTGGCTGTGAGTCTTCGTCAACTCAAAAAGGGGGATTGGTAATGCGAAGAGTGTGTTTGCATTGTGAGTATTGTAATGAATGTTAAAAAAAGAGAGAGAAGTTAGCACTCAAGTTTTGCCAGCACCTTTTTTTGAAGAGGTTTCCATTTCCCCATTTGGCAGGTTTTCTTTCCTTGTCGAGTATCCGTTGACCATAGATAGATGGGTTCATTTCTAGATTCTTAAGTCTGTTCCATTGGTCTATATGCCTGTCATTGTACCAGTGCTGTGCTGTTTTGGTTAGTACTGCTGTGTAGTAAGTTTTGAGGTCAGCGAATGCTATGCCTCCCACTTCGTTTTTTACGGCTGACTGCAAAAAGCTGAAACAGGATCCAATCTCACACCATACACAAAAATCAACTCCACGTGTGTCAGAGACTTGGGAATAAAGCCCAAAACCATAAAGTTCATAAGAGACAAATTGGGATCAATCTTAGAAGGCCTGGTCTATGGTATAACAAGACTGCCAAATACAGCCAGAAATGCACAGTCTGAAGAGGATAAAATTGATGAATGGGACCTTCATCTCTGCGCTCGTCAAAAACTTTTCCCAACAGGTTAGAAAGAAAACCTACTGACTGGGAACAAACATTTGGCAATACCGTCTTAGACAAGGGTCTCATAACAAAAGTTACAGACTACTCCTGGGCCTTCAGAAGAAGAAGACCAATAATCCAATTACAGAATGGGCAAAAGGCATGAAAAGACTTTTCATGGAGGAAGACATTCGGATGGCCAACAGACAAATGAGGAAATAATTCAAAATCACTGGCAGTAAGAAAGATGTAAATTAAAACCACAATGAGATACCCTAGTAGCAGTGGAAAAGTTAGCAGGGCAGCAAGTAATAAATTTTGGAGAGGATGTGATGAGATATAGGAACTCTTAATACATTGTTGGATTGTAAAATGGTACAACCACTCTGGAAGACAGTTTGACATTTCCTCAAAAAGCTAAACATAGAAATTCCTCATGACCCAGCTATTCTACTGCTTGGAATATACCCTGAGAAAATAAGTTTGAGGCACAAACAGAGACTTGTACACCAATTTTCATAGCAGCATTATTCACCATAGCAAGAACATGGAAACAACCCAGTTGTCCAACCACAATGGAATGGATTGAGAAATTATGGTACATTCACACAATGGAATACTATGCAGTACGTAGGAGCAATGATTTTGTAAGTTACTACCTAACTTAGGAGGGACTGGAGAGCATTATGCTAAGTGAACTCAGTCCCATAAGAACACATCTTGTGTAAGACCATTATTGTAGAACATGTCCAAGGATCCAAGGTGGGGAAGGGAAAACAGGTGGATGACGATGGGCTAGGGGTGGTTTGCGTGCTTAATCATAGGATTGCACAATTTGATGGGTAGAAGAAAGGGTGGGTAAAAGAAAGAGGGATGATCTGGGTGAAAAACAATGCATATGAAATAAAAATGTTATATAAAAAAAAATGAGAAGAGTGAGGAAAAAATCAAACACACACCCTTTTCTCATTAAAATACTAAAGAAAACCACTTCCCAAATACAGTTAAAACTATAAGCTTTACAAAAACCCTTTGCTTTCAAGTAGGAACAGACTTGGCCCTCCATTGGGTTTCCACAGGGGAGGAGAGACAGAGATTTATAACATATTATTATTGGGGGAGGACACATGCAGTTCAACCCTTTTGATGAGTCCGGGATCATTCAAGATTTTATTTTTTTTAATTTAAATTTATTATTCATTTCAGTAAAAATTTAGAGAGACTTTGGATTTCCATTCATTCATTGT